GCGGATTACTATGCGTAATTCAATTCAAAAATCCGCAATATTGCAGATTTGAAAAAACAATTGCAGTACCATCCTTAATTATATATATGCTTGTATCTAAAATTTTAAATATTAGGATTATGATTATCAAAATTATATTTCATATTATTTTTCTTTTGACTTAAAGAAAATTCTAATTTATTCATAAATTAATATTGAATGAATTTCTGAGAAATGTCAAAAAAATATCAGAATAATATTTGAAAAATATCTGAAAAATCTATTATATAAAAAGTGAATTAAATTTTCAAATATATTTTAATAAATTATGTTATCAATTTTTCATGTGATAAAATTTTTTAATGTTCTACACTCATGATGTATTGTATTATTTTTTTTAAATAACTACTTAATTTAATAAATAGAATAAAAAATAAAATTTTTGAGATGAGATACAATAATATAAAAAAATTATTTTACAAGTTATATTTATCAATTAAATAATAAATGAGATATTTTTAATCTTCTAATAATACAAAAAAAATGAAAGTTGATGAGATATCTTTTGTCTTAAAAAACAGTTGATATAATATACAAAAAAAAAATATTAACATTTCATAAAGAATCTCACTTTAATTATAGGAACTAATTAGTTGTGTATAGTAATACCTGACTAAACTCTTTTTTGAAAAATTGTAATTTTGTCAAAAGTTTCATTTCTTTAATATTTTATATGAATAAATATAAAATTATAATATTTTTTAATATATTTTAATTCAAGGAATTTAGATCAAGTTAAATATAATTTCAGCAATTAAGTAAAATAATTTCATCATTAATAAATAACTAGTTTCATCATTTCAATTTCGTCAATTTCATCATATTAAGAAAGGTAATTTCGTTAGGTATCACTAATTGTGTACAATAAATAGAAATTTTACTGATTCTTGCAATAAATTTTTTGATACTGTTTAGCAAGTAATTGAATGTATCAAAGAAAAAAAGGATCAATAAGTAGATTATTTTGTTTTAATTTTATTATTTCTAGTATATTGATTATTTACTAATTAATTTCTTTTTATTTACAAAAAAAATATGTGTGCTTATCTTTTAAAGAAAATGAGGTAATTTATTTATTATAAAACTTAAGTTAAACATCTTATAAAGATAGACAAATGTAATAAATATGACTGAATTAAAAGCTCAAAATTCTTGCAAACTCTGCAAAGATTTATTTGAAAGTTATCTATAGTAAATTATGCTTCAAAAATACAGATATAATGAATCTTATATATAATAACAAAAAAATATTACAGTTTGATCTCAAAACAGTAAAAATATTACCAGCAAATTATAATTGTACTTCAGATATACTATTTATTACTTAAATTAATAGATATTTTATAATTTTAAATTAATAATATTTCTTAAATTAGGCAGTTTATTACATAAAAATATAGCAGTATTATTTATTATAATGAAAATATTATATAATTAATTTTTTATTACAACGAAATTTAAATTTATCAAATACAATCTTTATTATTTAAAAAAACTTAAGAATTTGTGACTTCATCATCAAATAATATCTAATACATCAAAAAATATTTTGGATTAATCTTTTTAATTACTTTTTGATGATATTCAAGTGATATTTATTACTTATTTAGTAGTATTTATAACCAAAAAAATGTGTTATCAATAATTAATAATAATGTTATAAAGTTATTTGACATCACATCATTAAGTGTTGTTTACTAAATAGTTGTGATTTGTTAGTGATCACTTAACTTCATTAAATTTTGATCAAATTAAAATTAAATATTTTAACCAGTTAACAAATATTTACTCAGTTAAAATTAACCAGTTTCAATTTTATTTATAAATCTATAATAATAACTTCTTAGTAATTGATATCTTTCTATGATAGCAATTATTTTTTGTTTATTAAATGAATTCATATTTGAAAATAATTCATAACGTAATTTAAAAAAATTTTTAGTGTAATTACTAATAAGTTAGACTCAAAGTAATATTTAAAAATTTATCAAAACAATTATAAATAAAAGACTCAAGACTTTACTAGTTTAACAGTTTAAGGGATATTATTTAGAAAATAAAAAATTTAAAATCTATTTTTAACATAAATTAATATATAAATGAAAAAATTATTGTCATATAGATGATTTATGATATAATAATTATTACATTATATTCATATTATTTTTGTTATATAATTAGATCAATAATTAGTAATGTATATTACAAATAGGATATTGAATTACTCTCAAAAAGTTGTAACTGATTAATTATCTTATTATAATTTTGTATTATTAATCAATAAATTTTAAAACCAAATAATTAATTTAGATTTAAAATTCAGAAATCAATCTAGTTTATAAATAAATCAAATAAGTAATAAAATCCAAATTTAAATTTGAATACAAATTTGATAAAAATTTGATTTGTTTTAGATTAGATTATTATTTAGTTTTAAATCTTGTTTGATAATTGATTTAAATATTTAATTCAGATTTTTTAATTATTAAGATTAAATTTTAACAAACAAATTGAATTTTGGATTGGATTAATTAATCTGATTTTATATTCCAAGTGTTATTATATTTGATTTGTAATTCAGATAAAATCACTAAAAATAAATAAATTTAAGATTATATTTAAAGAATTATAGATGAAGATTTACAGTAATTTCTAAGATTATTCGCAATTAAATATAAGTAATTTCTTGATATTTTAGAGATTACCTTTTAATGATTACATTTAAATTAATTATAATGAATCAGTATAATATTATACAAAGTTAATAAACAATATAAATTTATAAATAAGTTAAAGGATTATAAAGGATAATATTTATTTAATTAATTATACTCTTTATATAATAATAATAGTATTCTTTATCTGATCTAAAGGTATTATAAGGTATCAATCCTTACTTTATCCTTAAGACAATTAATTTAAAGATTAATTGATAGATTTTATTTATATTGAGACTTAATATAAATACAAAGATATTTATATATATTGGATAATTAATAAATATACTAAACAAAGATTAATAAAAGAAAAATTATTAATAGTAATGTATTAAATATAATAATAAATAAATATAATTATAAAAAAAAATAATAAGAAAAATATATTTTTTATTAAAAAATATGATGTTAAATATATCTTTATTTATATTATATGAGCAATGTGTTTAATAAAAATTTTATTAATTACTTTCTTTTTCTTTTATCCATTTAGTAGATACAATCTCTTGTTCTCTATAAAAAATTATTTATTATATTTAAATAAAATGAGAAATATAATTTTAAATTAAAATAAAAAAGCATGTAATTCCACCTAAAATTTTGATTAAAAGAGCGTTTTGAATAAATATTTTAAAAAATGGAAGTATTTTTCTAACTATAAAGTAAAATAATAAATATTATTGAAAAATTACCTATAATATATAACAGGAACCAATACAGTGGAATGAGTTAAAGGGAATTTAGTTTGTATGTAATATGGATGATGGAAATTACGGTTGTAGTTGTGATGATAATTGCGAAGGACCTCAGAGAAAGTTTTGGGGAAAACTTAGGGAGTGTTGGGGTGGAAATTATGGTTGTAGTTGTGAAGATATTGTGAAGGTCCCAAAGAGAAAGTTTGGGAAAATTAGGGAGTGGGTCTCGCTACTCAATTAAATATATATATAAAAATTTATTATAATCCTCAAAGAACATTAACGCCGTTAAATGTGTGTTGTTGTTGTTTAATAGAATAATTCATATTGACCAACTTTTTAGTCCAATATTCGTATTTATGAATATAAAATTTTTTTTAACATAATATTTAATTTGTAATTTTGAATATTTTTAACAATATTTAATTTGAAAAATAATTTTTAGAAAGAAAGAAGTTAAAATGCTGTGCTATTAGAGGCTGTGCCTATTTATATATTCAAAATATCGGGGGCAAAGTACAGAAATTCCAATTTTCTACAATAGAATTCTCAAAATGATGTAATTCCACAGCCGAGTATGTTGTGTATGTAGGGGGAAATATTAGCAAATCACAAGGTAACTTTTGTTCATCGTCGAAAGTTTGGTTCCTTCTATTAAGTAACGCCACGATATAAAATAAAAAATTTGGGTCATTATTAGCATACTCATTATTAAACTATACAAAAGAAAATCTCAAACACTCATGTGGTTACATTTTTTAGGACTTCGCTGAGCCGATAGTTTTCTTATTAAATTTTTTTATTATTTATCAGTCGCTAGAGATTTTTCTGGAAATAATATAAACAAGTTTTATTTGTGCGTAATTAGATCATAAAAAGGAAATGCAATACATTTAAAAATTCTAGACTAGAAATCATCTTTAAATTATTACACAATATTTTTATTTTTAGTGGTGTCGTGTATCGAAAACTGTCAATTATCATTAATAATTAAAATTTTTTATATTATTTTGATTATTCTCCATCGTGTGTTAATTGGTAAATCATGTATGACAAACATGAATGACAATTTTTTTTTGATTAGTAAGCAATATTGGAACTATAGTATTCCCGTCCTGTTATAACTTAATAAAAAATTAATGTGAGCGAATTATTGTATACAAAAAGTAAAGCTCGATCGCTATTATTGCATTAAAAATATCAAATGGCAAACATATAATCGTTGAGATACTTTGGACTTTAAATTTAGAGTATTTTTGCAATTAAGTGTTGATATTGTAGAAGGGTCAAGGATATATTAGATAATCGATCCTTGAAACTCACGGGACTGCCTACGAGTATAATTATTTCTTTACTTATAATGAAATTGACAAGTCCCCGGTCCCGTCTTGTTGCTTGTTCGATCTTCGGTTTAATATTCTCATTTTGTGGGCTTTTTTTGTAGGTTCCTTCTGTAAGTATTTTCTTTCTTATTATTATTGTCTAAAGTATTTTTCAAATTGATTAGTTAAATTCTTTTGATTTTATTTTATTTTTTTTTGAAGTTATAATAACATGTTATACTACTTATTCAATTATTGATAATGAATTCTGATCGTCGTATTAATAAAAAATTTCTCTTAAATTTTCAAGTACGTACTGTACATGCGTTGTTAATGAATTTAATTTACAAGCCTAAATGGGTTATTTATAAAGCTCTAAATTTTACAAGAAAAGCATTTTGAAATCATAAAACAAGACACTTCATGATAAAATTCTTTAGTTAAATAAAAAATCAATTTTTTTATCTTCACACCCCAAAACTTAGGCTGAACGAATAATATTTCGAATGTCATTTTAGCAAATGGCATACATCGCTACGATTTTGACTTTTAATGGGTTTTTAATAAATAGTATCGACTTCGACTATTGTTAGTTTCGGTACTGAGTCGGAGTCAAAATTGTTGTCCCACAATCAACTAAGCACGATTCACATGATTTCTTAAAAATCCTATTGTTTCCTATTTTGTATTTGAACTGTATAATTAATGAAGGAAATTGCAAAAGTAGTAGTAAGTTAAAAATTTATTGAAAATCTCATCACTCTTAGGCTTTACAAAATTTTACAACAATCATCTGCAGTAACTGCATCTTCATAATAACTGCATGATCAATATGTAGTCACTACATATTAAGGAATAACAAAAAAAAAATAAAATAAAAATTAAAAAAAAAAATTGAAATACTCATAATAATCACTTCGTATAAATTCACCAAGTAAAGAAAAGATTCCCGATTTGTTGATTTTATTTATTTATTTTAAGATAAAAAATTAACAAAAACGACGAAAACGAGATGCTGCGCCTCAAGCTCAATGTCCATCTTTTTGTCCCGATTGGTCATAGTGATCAACATAATCATACGATTATAAATAAAAATAAACGTACGGTTTGTAAGCAAAACTTTGATTTTCACATTCCCCTCTTCTTACTGTAAATCATGACATGTTCGAAATTATTTTCGGGTAATTTACCAGAAATAATATATTATATTATACAATTTTTACAAGATGATATAAAATCACTATATTCATGCGCTCTAGTCAATCGACTTTTATGTCAGATTGCAATTCCCATGCTTTGGGAAAATCCTTTTTCTATCAAGCGTCGAGAAGAAGATCCTTACAGTTTTCTGGATACTTACTTTTTATTTCTAAATAATGATGACAGAGCAATATTCAAAAAATTCGGAATTACTATCAATTCATCAATTAAGAAACCTTTATTCAATTATCCTTGTTTTATTAAATCGTTGGATACATTTCGAGTAGAAATGCACACGGTTAATTGGATCAATAACCTTGACATACCCATCAATTACATCAAGACTCATTCGAATACATTTAATAATTCATACATGTGTATGAAATTACCTTGTACGATCTTTCATTCAAAATTTCATTCCGAAAATACGAGCTTGAAGGTCAAAGTGAATTTATTTGATTCAGAAAAAGTTGTGAACTTTACTTGCACTTTATTATTTAAATTATTTATCAATTATAATGCTTCCATAAAAGATTTGAATATGAAATCCAGCAGTTTTTGTGGTTACTTTTTATCTGAAATATGTGAAATGATGTTACGTAATTCCAAATTCATTTCAAATATTGAAAAGCTTAGTTTTTGTTTTTTCAAAAGACCTAGATTCGATCTTCAATCTTTCTTAACTTCCTTATCATCATTAACAACTTCCATTAACCATTTTAGAATTTCCTTTTTCATTGACAAGTATGAGGGGGATCTTACGGATATCGTCACGACACAAAATCGACTTTTGTCTTTCGCATTTTACTGTGTAACAGTAAATGCTCGTCTATTAAATTCCTTCAAGCACTGCTTTAATACTTTAACAACAATGAAGTTTTTACATTGTAATTTTACAAATATCTCATCATTTGATGTACTTCAATATTTCACACAACTTCAATCTCTCTGTTTCGATAATTGTGAGGGATTAAAAGATCAAGCATTTCAACCTCTAATAGATAATCCCTCTTCATTAAAAGTTAAATCTTTAAAATTGGGTGGTAAAATCTCAGAATATGCCTTGTTACTGCAAAAAATTGGTCCTTACGTAGAAGATTTATCTGTGGAATTAGGATTTGGGGACATTGAGAGATGTGATAAAGCTTTTAAGAATATTATAACTTATTGTAATAAGATTAAATTCCTTCATATAGCATACACCAATCATGTGAATATCCCTCAAATATGTGAATTAATCACTCAGATCAACAAATATCTTAAATATCTCACTTTTGAGGTCATGTTTGGTTTGGATGCGCATAGTTCAGAAAGTAGCTCGAACCTTTTAAAAGGACTGGGTACAGTTTTACCAAATTCATTAGAATATTTAAATTTGGACCTTGTAATCGATCCAATTGATCTAAAAACCTTCTTTGATAATTGTAAGCACGTTGTTGGTTTAAACAAATTGTTGATCAGGAATAGAAATTTTGAAAGCATTGATACGACGTTTAAAGTTTTGAAGGAATTTATGAATGAGGCAAAGATAAACGAATTTGCTTATGAAATTGATAGTTATTTTGACGTTGAAGATTTAGAATATCGTAATTTGGAGGAATTGGTTAATGATGTTCAACCAAAAAGGTATAGTGATTTAATAATGAGAATTCCTGGTTTTGAATAGAACAAAAAAAATCTAAAGATGCTAATGCGATTTAGGTAAAAGTTTTATTTTGATTTCTTTTTCTTTTGCCATTTAATTGAGATTTTTAATATTAATAAGCAATTATCAACTGGAAAAAAAGATTTAAACTATTGGTTAAAATAATTTTTTTTTTTTTGCTTCAATAGTGCAATCAATATACACGAATTTGATCAGAACATTTGTATTTTTTTAACTAGAAATGTATTTTATTTTATTTTGTTTTTTTTACCATTTGGTCCATTTACTGAATAAATACTTTAATCAAAATCTGTACTTGTTTTTATTTTTTAACTTTTACCTTTTTACCGTTAAAAGAAATGAATCGCTTAAAAACAAATTGTTTAGTATTAACAATAATAATAATATTCTGAGTGGCTATACGGGAGGAATGCAACGAGTGTATAAGCATCTTGAAAGGTGTCTGAGAAAGATCCTTTCAGCATCAGCTACATGTCTACGAAAATGTGAATCATCATACAGGTTGTTGTCCAGCATTCTGGACAAGAATTACTTAGAATGGCAGCTATTATGTTATACGAGTTGAAATTTCTTCCAAGATGTTATTCACATGGATGTTCTATTTGATGAAGATGCAAAAATAATTTGGTTATGTACTTATTAGTCATGAAATATAATAATCATAGAAGATATCGGATCAATAACACTTGAAGTTCATGGTTCATGTAATTAGCATGAATAAAATTATGTGGATATCCATTCTTCTGACTTAAATTTTAGCAGCCTTCGTAGCAAGAAATAAATTTAAGTATACACGGACTATCATTTAAATAATAATGCATATGCAAAAATATATATATATATATATTTCGTCAAGATTTCTTTTTTTAAAAAAATGATTTTATTAAATAGACAATTTCTCAATAATGCTTTCGTGATATATGTTTTATTTAAACGAAAATTATGTATTTTCATCATATTTACCATAAATTAAAATTATATAATGTATAGTACATTAATCGGGATCTAACATAATTATGTTATATTATCAGAAATGAAGATTCAATTTTGAAGCTCAAATTTATCGAATATCTCATTCTTACATTGTAATGTCATTAATATCATTATGAAATAATATTTGATTCAATTATTATCGGTAAATAATCATTGGTGAAGAAAGATAACTTGAGCAATAAAAAAAAAGAAAATGATATTCCCCCCCTCCATATTTCCTCAAAAAAATTATTTTCATCAATTCTCGAACATTTCCATCGCCACATTTATGTATTTCTGCAATATACCGTGCGTTATTATCCAAATCAACCAAGTCATTATATTAGTAAGATGTTATTAATAAAAAAAAGAAGACAATAATAAAAATGTTAAAATCAAACCGGGATTCTTGTATATTTTCCAATACCAATATCTCAACCAATCGTCAAACGATAACTAAATAAATAAAATCATCTCATATTTATTACAGCCTATAAAATAACAGCATTTCCATCGTTCTATGAAGTGAGTTTCTGATGGATGAATTAGTAAATAGATTAGTGCTAAATAAAAAATCATATTAAATCAACCCCGAGTTACAGTAAGTACCTGTTATTCCAAATATTAATAATACAATCATATTTATCTTAATAATCTCACGTAACCATCAAATATATCTACGCTACGTAATTCATAAAAACTGTTTCATCCAATTCACTCTAACTCTCCAACATAAAGTTTTCAATGCCATTTCATTCGAACGTATATATGTATATAAGTAAAGGCTTATTTATAAAAAAAAATATAATTGTGAATCAAACTGTGCTTCCGGTAATTAATTCTTAACGCACTCAAAATTATTCTATTCATCCAAATAATAAATATATCATTTTTTCATCATTTCATGATCCATCTCTATCATCTCACAACAGATAAGCATTGATCGTTCCCTCATTAATATATCATCCATTATTGTTATTATCACATGATTATAGCCTTATCCAGTCCAGTCATTAAATTAGAGCGTTAGTAACGTATAAGAAAATATTAAAACAAAAAAACAAATTAAGAAATAGCAAGCCTAATCCACAGAAATATTGTTAATCATCCTTAATATTCTCCATTATCTCATGATCCATTA